GTGGAGGAGGACCTCCACTGCCGCTTTGTGGAGGACCATACTGATTAGGTGGTGGAGGACCTTGACCTCCCGCCGGAGGACCATACATTTGCCCTGGTGGCGGTTGCTGACCCGGTGGCAACTGTTGATTGGGTGGTGGAGCATAAGAACCGGGTGGACCCTGTTGTCCCGGTCCGCTAGCTCCATAAGGATGCTGTTGTGGAGGACCACTGGCCGCTGATGTTGGTGGCATGCCGGCATGTGGTTGATAACCAGTTTGAGCGTTTGGTGGCGGTGGTCCATAGCCATGTGTTGGTGGACCATACGGATAACCACCTTGTGGTGGATATTGCGGCTGTTGTTGTGGCGGATAGCCAGGATAATGGGAATGCTGTTGCTGTGGTGGCTGGTAGGCACCTCTATATTGACCTTGCTGTGGTGGTGGTGGACCTTGTTGTTGTTGGGGTTGTCCGGGGCCTTGTTGATTAGGACCCTGTTGTTGTTGCTGTTGTTGGGGCGGTCCTTGACCCGGAGGTGGTGCACCAGGGCCCGAAGGTCCACTATTGGGACGTTGTTGATCTAAAAGTGTATAATGTGATATCGATGGTAATTAGTTCATTTTTAAATTAATAAATGATATTGAACTCGATATTTAGGCAGGGAAAACATTTTCGAAATCTCATACTACTGCTTTATATTAGTAGGTATTGCAAATATCTATTTAACTCACAAGTGCTAAGAAATAAGTTTTTTGTAATAAGGATTTTCATATAAATGTTCGATTTAACATTGAATTTGTCACAAATTGCACGGTCTTTTACTTCCACAACACTGAAACATTTTATCGTCTATTTAAACTGATTATTTTAAACTAAATTTTCTCTTCGAAATAATACAGATACACATTTCTGCAAATGTGCAAGTTTGTGCACTTGTTTCATGAATTCCCTTAATATTTTTTTTTACTTTTAATTGAATAAGATCAAAGTTTAGTAGATTTTTCAGAATCTTATTTAGTTCTTGGGGACTTCCCTATTTACGAATTCTGATTATTCATTTTAAAATTGTTTTGAGACTATGCCATCATCTATAAAAACTATAAACAACATTATAAAAACACTTACTTCCTGGAGCATTAGTATTCGGTTGCTGTTGTTGCTGCTGCTGAGGACCACCCACAGATTGGGGCTGCTGTTGCGGACCTGGTCCTTGAGGACCGCCACGATAGGGTCCCTGCTGAGGCGGTGGTCCACCCTGGGGACCACCAGGCTGCTGTGGACCTGAAGGAGGGGGTCCCTGTTGTGGTTGATTGCCATTTGGTGGCATACCCGGATGTTGTGGTGGTCCCTGACCATAGGGAGGCATTTGACTACCAGACGGCGGTTGGCCAGAACCATCATGTTGCATTGGCGGCATACCGGGAGTACCAGGTGGTCCGCCCATTTGAGACTGAGCCCCAGGAGGTGGTCCACCTTGAGGTTGCTGCTGCTGCGGTGGTGGTGGTCCACCAGACCCCATCATACCATGAGGACCTTGCTGATTGGCTTGGGCCTGAAGAATATGCGGCGGTGGCAAGATTTGATTGATATTCATTGTAGGATCAGCCAGTTGTGCCAAATAGACGAGATTTCTATGCAAGGCAATATGATACGAAGTACATTCATACGATTTACCAATATTTTGGAAACTCTGTATGGTCTGTATAATCTTACAATTCTCATCCAGAATTTTCTGTATATGAGCTGGACTAGGTGGTGGAGGTACACCACCGCCATGCTGCCCGGGAGGAGGACCGCCCATCATACCATCAGGACCACCGGGTGGTCCACCCATTACACCCATGGGCGGACCCCTTTGCATGGGAGGTCCTCCTGGACCACCCATACCCATTACAGGTGGCATTCCACCGGGACCACCTCCACCCGGACCCATCATGCCACCTGGTCCCGGTCCACCCACCACAGACTGCTGCTGTGGCGGTTGCATCGAATTGGGTGTCGTCGACTGCGGAGGTTGCATCATACCTCCCGGTGGAGGTTGACCAGCCGCCTGCTGTTGTGGCGGTGGTTGCGGCGAAAAGACTGCAGTCATTTTACTGGCTGCAGCCTTCTTCTTCCGCTTGGGTGTTTTTTCCTGTTTTTCCACAATTTTGGCCGTTTTTAAAACGCTCCCAAGAGAAAAATTTATTTATTTGGTTTCTTTACACCAAAACCAACTAAGGGACTCCTCAAATTGGAGTCTTTTTTCTTGCACACAAAATTTTTATTCTACACTTTAATTACACAGTTCAACGCCTTTGCGGCTTTTGCATGTACTCGTTTTATGTCCGGTTTTTTCTGTATCAATAATTTTTGTTCAACACAATTTGATCAGATTTCTTTATATTATTCTACATGATTATTATTGGCACGACATTCTTTATGTTACTTTTGTATGTTATTTTATAAAATAAAAAGTAAATTTATTAAAATTTTGCAAATAAAAAACGACGCCGTCTTTCACACGAGTCTAAAATAATTCGTTTGCAAAATACTAATTCGCTTCGTTTTTTGTGCAATTTTCGCCACAAAAATTAAAGAAAAAACCAAAAATTTTGGTTACCAGATGTATAAAAATAACAGTGTTGCTTTTTGAAGTAAAAATATATATGGCAAGAAACCGTTATTTAAATCAACTAAAAAGAGTATTTAAAAAAAACAATTAATCATCGAATTTCATTAATTTTTTCAACAATAGAAACAAAGAATATCGGTTTTTAAAGAAAAATTTTTCAAATTTCAGAATTTTTAAATTTTTTGACTTTTTACAATTTTGAAATTGCCGATATTAAACTCTTTTAATATCGACTTTTGGGTTTTGATTTTATTCACATTTTTTCTTTTTCTCCTATTTTTTGTATCCCAAAGTTGAATATTTCTTAACATTTTCACTTCGTATAGAAGTTTGACGCATTGATTGGAATCGATCTAATATAAACACATACATACATTAAACACGAGTTGTAAGTTGCAGTTCGATGAAAAATATTGTATGTGCTTGGACCTTTAGATTTTTGACTGATTCTGGTTTTATTTACGTTTATGTCCGCTTGAAAAAACATTTTTATATTGACTTTTTCAGATATCCTACAATTATGTGCGCTTAGTTCATATAAAGACAGATTTGCTGAGCGTCAACCGACAAACATTAACAGCGACGGCTTAAAATCTTTTTTAAAGAAAACACTTTAAGCCGCCGTTGACATTTTTGTGTCAGCTAACGTGTCGTTAAAACTTTTTGGTGCAGGTCTTTGAGTAAAATAGCATGCATGGAAAACCATTGTAGTTAGAATTATCAAAATCGTTAAGTGGGTTTCTTATTTATATTGCTTTTAGGGTAGAAAAGCACACTGGGTATAGCTAGTAAATAAATAAATAAAATATCTTTGTTTTTACGTTATTGATTATTTTCTTAATGCAAAATTTTTTAGAAACTGATTTTCTGCAAGATGTTTTATATGTAGGATAGGGTCAAATATAGGCCGATCCTCGTAAAACTTGGAGAAAGGATTTGTTTTTAATTTTTAAGAATTTTTTATCCATCCCTGCATAATTTCTCACACAACTTTTGTGCTTGCTCTGTTTTGTTATAAACAATATATTTGCTTCCAAAATCCCACTTTCTGATCTCTCGGATTCCGTTTTTATTTAAAATCGTTGAAAATTTAAAAACTAAACGTAGTTGAAAACTTAGCCGGCTTACAGTCGATTTTAAGCCGCCGCCGACATATTTAGTGTCAGTCGCCGCCGCCGTTAATATTTGTCGGCGCAGGGCTCTGTAGCATGCAACACGACAGAAAAAAGCTAGCAAAGTTCAGCGGGTAGTGAAAATTTTCTAAAATATACTGAAAACAAACTGAAACAAAATTTAAAAAACAAAAAAACCTATTAAATACAGACCAAGTGTTAGTTTAAAATAAAAGCTAAAATAAGTATACAATCTTATCGAAAAAAGCAAGTGAAGAATTTTTATAAAAGGTATACGAAATTAAAATAAAAATCACTATAACGAATGTCGACGTCAAAGAAAAATCTCTGAAAGATGAAAGAAGAGGAGAAGTGTTCACAAAAAATAGAAAATAACAAAAATACCAAAGAAACAAGGAAAGAGAGTGTCAAAATTTAGAAATTTCATAATTCACGGGTTGCAGCAGATTCTTTTCGTTTGTTTTTGGATTTTAGCCAATAATTTTTTCCCAAAAAACAAAAGGGAAATAAATTACTTTTTTTTTGTTTCTTTTTGGGAAACAAAATTTATGTAATTGATAATTCAGCAAATTGTGCTATCATAATTTTTGTTTAGCCGCTTTTTTACCTGCTCTTTAATGGTATATTAGTGTGTGTGTTTCTTTTCATTCCGCTTTAAGCAAAGGAGAGATAAATAGATAATGAAGAGATAAGGGAGCAGTATTGTTTTCTCTCCCTCTGCAAATTGCAAAAAATGTTAAATTTGCTGCAAAAGAGTTGCCCAAAGGAATGTAAGAATTTGTGGTGCCTATTTTAAGAAATATTTAATAATACCTGCTTTCATATTAAAAATTTATTAAGAGTGATTCTTTTTGCCCTTGTTCTACGGTTTATAATTACAAAATGAATTAAACATTTTAATCAAGAAAAATATAGTGTTAATTTAGCAAATACCAAATATTAGTTGTTACTATCCCTACCTATTTCCTTAACACAAAGCAGCGGCAACTCAGATGTTTTAAGTAAAAACAGGCATGGACATTAATAATTTATTAATGGCAATGAACTCTAAATAAAATTAAAATATAATAAAAACAATTTACTTTAGATAGAAAGTTTATATTTGGAGCAATATTTTTAAACCAATTATAAACACAAAAATAATCACATTATTTTTGAATTAGCAAAAAGATTGTTAAAGAAATCTAACATGTGCACAAAATTATCCAACCCTGAAAAAAGTGGCGGCGGCGTTTATCTCACACAAATTCGCCTCGATTCGTATGTAACCGTATTTTTTAGTTTTGCAGACTTGTGTGTGAAGTGTGTGTTATTATTTATACTTTTGGTTAATTTAACAAAATTACTATACAAAAATTCACTAAGTTATAAATATTAAGAAATAAAGTAGCCAGCAGATAATAACCAATAATTAATCATTATAAATAATAATATAACAAGAAAAACATGTGCATAAAAAAGCCATAGTTTGAAAAGAAATAAAAACAGTTTAAAAGCCAAAATGATTTTTTATTGATTTTATTATTAATTGCTGCAATACCATACACATTTGTAGTGAAAATGTTTTTCCTTGCTCCCCTATATAAGGAAATTGTTAAATAAAATTTTTTTGTTGCTGTACATTATTTTAAGCGCGCGCTTCTCCGTAGGAGAAGGGGGGAGGGTGCAATTCTTAGATGTCTTTGAGTTTCCAGAATTAAAACCATATAGAAATATTTTCACAAATTGTCACTCGCTGTCACCTCACCTTTCAAGTTGCTATGAGAGTTACTCCGAATAAGCAGGTTTGCTGTGCACCTCACGTGTATGGGACCTAGGCTTCTGCGTATCCCTAGGTCCACTTTAATTAGACGCAGCACATATAAAAAATGATATTGCTGTGAACCGCTTGACGAAATTTCTTTGCACAGCATTCTGCTCTCTTCTGCTTCCATTTTTTTCTAATACAGAATGGGATATTCTCTTTCTATTTAATAGAAAACTTCTTTCTCCTCTTTATTATCTTTGCTAAAAACTTTGATTTTTTTGCACACTTTTTACCCACCTAACAATTTTATTGAAGTAAAAGTTTTCTTTTTAATTTTTAGATAAACAAATTTGATGAAAGTGTAAAAAACAAGTAAACTATATAGATTTACAATAAACTTTAACTTTATGTTGTACATTGGTAAGTTTGAAGCTTACCAATGTTTTCCCTAGTTCAAATGAAATTCCGTGCATTATTGGTACTATTATCAAAAGTATGGACCTGCATATGTTTTATGTTCAATCGTCAAGTCAGAGCTGTAAGTATATTTGTAAATTTAATTGTATAATTTTTATATGTAAATTATTTAAGTAACTGATTAGAGAAAGAAAAAATGAGACTTGGGAATAACGAACAAGTCTTTCAAAAAGAATAACGTTTTTTTTTTAGAAAGCGACTTCGTAAAAGACTTTCTATTCAAATGTTATTTCTGACGGAATTTGTATCTATAGATAAACATATTAACTGTTCATTATCATCATTAGAAAAAGTTTCGTTATCAATAAATTTTGTTGAATTAACACTAAACACAATTGTCCACATCAAATTACTAATCAAGCATTCAAATGTTTTCATTTTTTCCCCCTCCAATCATATAAACAATTACTTTGCATTTTTTTCTCCTTATTTATTTAGAAATTGCAAATTAATTGTTTATATAATTTATTTAAATTTAATTTAATATAATGTATAAGATAAATATTTGCAAAAACCGCAAAAAAAGAAACACTGATATGAACCACTTTAGTTTGTCCAGTATCAACCTGTCAAATATGAACTCTTCCCATTGTCACCGGTATCCAGACATCGCCTGAGCATTGTCCAACGTAAAACTTTAGTTTTGGATTTAGATGAGACACTAATACATTCGCATCACAATGCTATGCCCCGAAATACGGTAAAACCAGGAACACCTCATGATTTTACAGTTAAAGTGACAATAGATCGTCATCCAGTTAGATTTTTTGTACATAAAAGGCCACATGTTGATTTCTTTTTAGATGTGGTAAGTAGTTTTCTTTTTAGAAATCAGTTTCCTAATATTATATAATAAATTTTGTCGTGTTTTATCGAAAGGTCTCCCAATGGTATGATTTAGTGGTTTTTACCGCCAGCATGGAAATTTATGGAGCTGCGGTCGCTGACAAATTAGACAATGGCCGTAATATATTACGTCGCCGCTATTATCGTCAACATTGTACGCCAGATTATGGTTCATATACCAAAGATTTATCAGCTATTTGTAATGATTTAAATAGAGTATGTTTATTCATTGCGGTTGGTTTCTCTGTTTAATTGCTATATTAATATTGTTGTTTTTTTCATCTAAATTTAGATATTCATAATTGATAATTCTCCTGCTGCATATCGCTGTTTTCCCAACAATGCTATACCAATTAAAAGTTGGTTTTCGGATCCCATGGATGTTTCATTATTATCATTATTACCCATGTTGGATGCATTAAGGTTTACGAATGATGTGCGTTCGGTTTTGTCGCGAAATTTACATTTACATGGTTTATGGTAGCAGGTGAGATTATTTTTAAGAAAATTAAAAAAAGCGTTTTTCTATTCTAATATAAATGATATTGGTTGAACGTCGCCTGATAAATTTAGTAAAATTTGATGAGTGAGAACAGGAATTTCCTAGAAAAAATTTTTATGGAAAAGAAAAAGTTTCTAAAAAAACAGATGTTTTGTATAATTTTATATGAAAAGTTTCAGTTCTTGTGTCAGTTTCTAGTTCAGTTCTAGTTCAGTTCTAGTTCAGTTCTAGTTCTAGTTCAGTTCTAGTTCAGCACTTCTAGTTCAGTTCTAGTTCAGTTCTAGTTCAGTTCTAGTTCATTTCTAGTTTCAGTCTAGTTCAGTTTCTAGTCATTTCTAGTTCAGTTCTAGTTCAGTTCAGTTCTAGTGTCAGTTCTAGTTCAGTTTTAGTTTCAGTTCTAGTTCGTTCTAGTTCATTCTAGTTCCAGTTTCAGTTCTAGTTTAAGTTCTAGTCAGTTCTAGTTCAGTAGTCAGTTCTAGTTCAGTTTCCTAGTTCAGTTCTCAGTTCAGTTCTAGTTCAGTTCTAGTTCAGTTCTAGTCGTTTCTAGTTCTAGTTCAGTTCTAGTTCAGTTCTAGTTCAGTTCTAGTTCAGTTCTAGTTCAGTTCTAGTTCAGTTCTAGTTCAGTTCTAGTTCAGTTCTAGTTCAGTTCTAGTTCAGTTCTAGTTCAGTTCTAGTTCAGTTCTAGTTCAGTTCTAGTTCAGTTCTAGTTCAGTTCTAGTTCAGTTCTAGTTCAGTTCTAGTTCAGTTCTAGTTCAGTTCTAGTTCAGTTCTAGTTCAGTTCTAGTTCAGTTCTAGTTCAGTTCTAGTTCAGTTCTAGTTCAGTTCTAGTTCAGTTCTAGTTCAGTTCTAGTTCAGTTCTAGTTCAGTTCTAGTTCAGTTCTAGTTCAGTTCTAGTTCAGTTCTAGTTCAGTTCTAGTTCAGTTCTAGTTCAGTTCTAGTTCAGTTCTAGTTCAGTTCTAGTTCAGTTCTAGTTCAGTTCTAGTTCAGTTCTAGTTCAGTTCTAGTTCAGTTCTAGTTCAGTTCTAGTTCAGTTCTAGTTCAGTTCTAGTTCAGTTCTAGTTCAGTTCTAGTTCAGTTCTAGTTCAGTTCTAGTTCTAGTTCGGTTCTAGTTCAGTTCTAGTTCAGTTCTAGTTCAATTCTAGTTCAGTTCTAGTTCAGTTCTAGTTCAGTTCTAGTTCAGTTCTAGTTCAGTTCTAGTTCAGTTCTTGTTCAGCTCTTGTTCAGTTCTTGTTCAGTTCTTGTTCAGTTCTAGTTCAGTTCTAGTTCTAGTTCAGTTCTAGTTCAGTTCTAGTTCAGTTCTAGTTCAGTTCTAGTTCAGTTCTAGTTCAGTTCTAGTTCAGTTCTAGTTCAGTTCTAGTTCAGTTCTAGTTCAGTTCTAGTTCAGTTCTAGTTCAGTTCTAGTTCAGTTCTAGTTCAGTTCTAGTTCAGTTCTAGTTCAGTTCTAGTTCTAGTTCAGTTCTAGTTCAATTCTAGTTCAGTTCTAGTTCAGTTCTAGTTCAGTTCTAGTTCAGTTCTAGTTCAGTTCTAGTTCAGTTCTAGTTCAGTTCTAGTTCAGTTCTAGTTCAGTTCTAGTTCAGTTCTAGTTCAGTTCTAGTTCAGTTCTAGTTCAGTTCTAGTTCAGTTCTAGTTCAGTTCTAGTTCAGTTCTAGTTCAGTTCTAGTTCAGTTTTAGTTCAGTTCTAGTCCAGTTCTAGTTCAGTTCTAGTTCAGTTCTAGTTCAGTTCTAGTTCAGTTCTAGTTCAGTTCTAGTTCAATTCTAGTTCAGTTCTATTACAGTTTCGAATAAAATCTGAAAATTTTTATAAACTTTCTTTGATAATTTTCTAAAAAAGACTAAAAAGAAGAGAATATTACCATTATTTTCTAAAATAATTTTAAAAATGTTCTAAAAAAGGAGACAATTTTTCGAAAAATTTTCTGAAAATTTACTATAAAGACTGAAAATTTCGAAGTTAATTTATAAAGAATTTACGGTCTTGTAAAATCTTGTAAAAAATTAAGTATTTTCGTTTTTGTGTTCTGGCCTGAGAAATTTTTATTAGGAGACAATTTTGCAAACTTATTTCTTAAATAATTAAAATATTCTTTTACTTTCTTTACAGATTAACAAATTGAAAATTTGGTGCTGTGACACTTAAACGAATTTTTTGTTTGTTTCATTACATTAAAATTTTATTATAATTTTTTTTTTTATTTTTTTTTACGCTAAGGATTATTATAAACATACAAATCATAAATCAGAAAAATTTATGAAAGAAAGGAAAAAATATAATAATTTTTGTTTATAAAAATTATTGAAAAAGGATTAAAAATATAAAAAATACAAAAAATATCTATCTATCTCTATTGACTTGTACTATGTAGATTATGGTACACATAAAACACACACACACACATTTAATGAAATGTAAGAAAGAACAATAACTAAAACACAAAAAGATGAAAGAAATCTTTTTTTCACTTACATTTAAAATATATACAACAAACTTACATATAAAAAACAACAACAAAAATACATATTTTTTTAAAAATTAATCGTATTTAACGATTAAATACTTTTCATTTTTCTATTTTTTTATTTATTATAACAAAAAATTTGTTTGCCAGATAAACAAAAAACAAAACAAAATTTATTTTTTTTATTAAAACAAAACAAAAATTACTAAAAAAACTACTTTAAATTATGGGCATTAATTAAATACTTTTTTAAAAATTTATTTCTTTTTTTTTGGGTTATTAGTTTATAATATAATTTCTTATTTTTTTTTTTTTTTGTATAAATAAAAAGAAAATCTTCCATTTATTATTATTCTCTTCTATTCTTTTTATTATTTCTATACTTGGTGTCTTATTTTATTTTTTCATTTTTGTATTTAAGTATGAGAAAACTGTTGTACATTTTTTCTTTACAATTAATATGTGTTTCTTCTTTTTTATTACAAATTGTTAGTATTTAAAAACAAAGGCTATAAAACAAATGAGAAAAATAACATGAATGAATCAATGAAGAAAATGTTTAATAATTTTGTTTAAATATAATATTTATATACAATACAATATGTTTACAAATTTCTTGATTTTTTCCTTATATCATTAAAGAAATTAAAATTAGAACTTTAGATTCGTAAGTAAATTTTGACCGTAAAAAAGTCATAAATAAAAAAACAACAACAATGTAAATTTTAAGTAAAAAAAAAACAAGTGTTTTGATTTTTAATTAAATGGTTGGTATAAATTTCACTTTTTATAGGAAATTTTCAAAAATTTACTTTCATATAGTAAATTTTCAAAAATTTCACTTTTATAGCAAATTTTCAAAAATTTCACTTTTTGTAGTAAATTTTTAAAAAATTCACTTTTATAGGAAATTTTCAAAAATTTCACTTTTTAGAAGAAATTTTCAGAAATTTCACTATTTAGAGGAAATTTTCAAAAACTTTACTTTTAGAGGTAGTTTTAAAAAGTTTCACTTTTTAGATGAAATTTTCAGAAATTTCACTATTTAGAGGAAATTTTCAGAAATTTCACTTTTAGAGGTAATTTTAAAAAATTTCACTTTTTAGAGGAAATTTTAAAAAATTTCACTTTATAGGAAGTTTTTAAAAATATCACTTTTTATATGAAATATTCAAAAATTTCACTTTTTATAGGAAATTTTCAAAAATTTCACTATTTAGAGGAAATTTTCAGAAATTTCAGTTTTAGAGGTAATTTTAAAAAATTTCACTTTTTAGAGGAAATTTTCAAAAACTTCACTTTATAGGAAGTTTTTAAAAATATCACTTTTTATATGAAATATTCAAAAATTTCAGTTTTTATAGAAAATTTTAAAAAATTTCACTTTTTAGAGGAAGTTTTTAAAAATTTAACTTTTTATATGAAGTTTTCAAAAAATTCACTTTTTATAGGAAATATTAAAATTTCACTTTTTATAGGACGTTTTTAAAAATGTGACTTTTTATAGGAAGTTTTTAAAAATATCACTTTTTCACTTTTTATATGAAATTTTCAAAAATTTCACGTTTATATAGGAAATTTTCTAAAATTTCACTTTCATATAGGAAATATTCTAAAATTTCACTTTTATATAGGAAATTTTCTAAAATTTCACTTTCATATAGGAAATTTTCTAAAATTTCACTTTCATATGGGAAATTTTCTAAAATTTCTCTTTCATATAGGAAATTTTCAAAAATTTCACTTTTTATAGGATATTTTCAAAAATTTCACTTTCATATAGGAAATTTTCAAAAATTTCACTTTCATATAGGAAATTTTCAAAAATTTCACTTTCATATAGGAAATTTTCAAAAATTTCACTTTCATATAGGAAATTTTCAAAAATTTCACTTTCATACAGGAAATTTTCAAAAATTTCACTTTCATATAGGAAATTTTCAAAAATTTCACTCTTTATAGGAAATTTTCAAAAATTTCACTCTTTATAAGAAATTTTCAAAAATTTCACTCTTTATTAGACATTTTCACGTTTTAAAAATTTTCAAAATATTAAAGTTTCTAGATTTGCAAAAAAAAAAAATCATTTTTATGGGAAATCTTCTAAAATTTCATTTTCATATAGGAAAATTTCTAAAATTTCATTGTCATATAGGAAATTTTTTATAATTTAACTTTCATATAGGAAATTTTAAAAAATTTTACTTTTTATAGCAAATTTTCTAAAATGTCACTTTTTATAGGAAATTTTAAAAAATTTCACTTTTTATAGTAAGTTTTTAAAAATGTCACTTTTTATACGAATTTTTTAAAAATGTAAATTTTTAACGAAGTTTTTTAAATATTGACGAAATTTTTAAAACTTTCACTTTTTTGGCGAAGTTTTTATAAATTTCACTTTTTTGGCGAAGTTTTAAAAAATTTCACTTTTTATACGAAGTTTTTTAAAAAATTACTTTTTATACAAAGTTTTTCAAAATTTCACTTTTTTGGCGAAGTTTTTAAAAATTTCACTTTTTATACGAAGCTTTTAAAAATTTCACTTTTTACAGGAAATTTTCAAAAATAATTTTTCCAAAAGTTCCCTTTTTTTGAAAAATTTAAATTTTGGCAAATTTCACTTTTTATAGTTTTTGGAAATTTTCACTTTTCAAAAATTTCTCCTTTCTTATTAAAGGAAAGTTACGAAATTTGTTTCCTTTTATAGAAAATTTTTAAAATTGTTCACTTTTTATAGAAAAGTTTCGAAATTGTTTCTCTTATATAGTAAAGTTTCGGAAATGTTCTCCTTTTATAGAAGAGTTTCTAAATTGTTTTCCTTTTATAAAAAAAATTCGAAATTGTTCTTTTATAAAAAAACTTGAACTTGATATCTTTTTTTCGAAAAGTTTTGAAATTATTCTTTTGTTTTAAAGAAAAGTCTCGAAATTGTTCTCCTTTTATTGAAAACGTTCGTAATTGCTTTCCTATTATAGAAAAGTTTCAACATTATTGCTCTCCTTTTATAAAAAAGTTTCAAAATTGTTCTTTAATAGAAAAGTTTTTAAATTTTTCTCTTTTTATAGATGTTTTGAAATTGTTTTCTATAGAAACGTCTTGAAATTGTTCACTTTTTATAAAAAAAGTAACGAAATTTTTCTGCGTTTATAGAAAAGTTTCAAAATTGTTCTTCTTTTATAGAAAAGTTTTGAAATTATTTTCTCTTTATAAAAAAAAACTTTCGAAATAGCTCTCTTTTTATCGAAAAGTTTCGAAATTGTTTTCCTTTTATAAAAAAGTGTTCTGCTTTTACAGAGTTTTCGGAATTTACTTCACTTTGATGGAATATATTCGACTTAATTTTTTCTTATTCTTTTGATTCAATTCTCTTTAAAAATAAATTTTGTTTTTTTGAATTCGGATTTTTCTACTACATATAAATTAAAACACACTTTTTCCAAATCTTATCTTATTTTTTTTCTGCAAACATTTTTGCCTTCATTTATTTATTTAAAAGTACATACATACATACTAAAGAAAATTTTTTAAATATATATTTGAGAAAATTTTCAACAAGTTTTAAATACATATTCATAAAACGCTATTCAACTATATATTATTATGCGATATAGATTATCTTAATCTAAAAAATGATAAATAAAATATGAAATTTACAAAGTAAAAGGTATATCTTTAAAATCGGGATCATTAGATGGTTTAACATACACATCTTTATACTTGGCCATGTATTTCTTAATAAATTCACGTGATTTACTTTTAACGGATTCGGTAACAACTAAAGTTTGACCTACCGATTCGCAATATTTTAATTCCTTAATCATAACGAAATGGGTTAACTAAAAGAAATATTAAAAATTATTAAATTTAAGAAACATATTATAATAGAAATATAAATAATTACTTTGCGTGCCAAATGATTGAAATCTTCATCAGATTGTATACGTCCCACTGTGCAGGTTTCCTTACGATATGGTTTTAAATGATGCACGATTATACCCGCTATCTCACAACGGAATTTTTCTTTATTTTTGCGATATTTAGCATCTTGTTCTTTGGGTTTTCTAAAAAAAATAAATGATTTTTTTTAATAATTGTTGTTAAATTAAAGTTAAACAAATTATCTCTTACCTTTTTTCTTTCTTTTCCAATTTACGTTTCTTGTATTCCTGCCGGGCTATGAGTACATTAAGTCCGGAAGTTGAGGCTGGTGATGAAGACGTCGAGGGCTCATTTAGATCGCGATGCGGTGGCAGTGGTCTTTTCAATTGTCTCTTAGTGGTTAATGCATCCAATTCATCGACAATTTTATCTCCCTCTACAATTTTATCCATTAGTGGACTATTGACTTCCACCTTAAGATCAACTTCTTCATCGGATGATAGTAAATAGTCTTGTATGGGTAAAACTCCTTGATCTTCAGGACTTTCAATTTGTGTTTTATTGGTATTTGGATTTGTATCGGTTATACTGCCTAGTGTACACATATTGAGGGAAGTTTGCCTCAAAGCCTCAGCTCGTTTACGTCGTATTTCCTCCTTCCGTTTGCGTATTTTCTCCTTATTTTCTTTGTATTTACGCACCTCCATTTGATTGTAAATACGATCTTCTTCACGCCGGGGCTACAAATATATTTTAAATATCTCTATAGAATGTCCATATTTTTATTGAAGATTTTCGAAAATTTCTCTTTACATAGGTTATCGAAAAATTTTCATTTTTATATAGGATTTTCGACAAATTTTCCTTTTTATAGAAGATTTTGAAAAATTCACTATTCATAAGAGATTTTCGAAAATTTCCCTTTTTACAGAATATTTTAAAATTTTCGCAAAATTTCTAAAAATTCTTTTTTTAAAATTCTAAAGATAAAATTGACTTACACTTATAGATCTTTCAACGACCAAACGTTGATAACGTTTCTGGCGCCGCATCTCGACTTTACGATCAATATAGGCCTTTAATTGAGCAGCATCCATGCCTATTAGTACTTCATCGTCGTCATCACTGCTATCCTCTCCGGCCGTGGTGGTAAGTTCAGTTTCAGAATCATCTTCTCTAGCCTCCATTTCACATTGCAGCAGCTGGGCTGGCGATGGTGGTTCCCATTGTGGTATACGATTTTTAATATGATAATAATAGATTTTACCCTGCGGTGTAATGGCATACTTCCATTGAGGCGGTAATGTACTGCAAACGGCTGGCAATTGATAATCATTGGGATCAGTGGATTTGGGTTTAACGGGCACTTGTACATGCGCATAACTGGGAGGAGTGTTAATGGGTTTGCGTTCGATGGAGAACCATTGGCCTGTAGCAGGATTAACACAGAATGGTATGTCCTGTTGTCGCGTCTTTTTGGGATCTAAACCAAAGAAACGGCATTTAGTTTCAAACTCACGCCTTTCCTCAGCCAAACGTTTTTCAGCCTCATCTCTGGCCACTTTAGCGGCAAACATTTCACGTCTTTGAGCTTTAGACAGATTCTTATTGTTTTCGGGCGTGGTATTGTTAGTTCTATGGGGATTGCCATTATTGGGTTTAACGAAACGTCCAGAAGAGCTGGAGGTTGTAGTAGAGTTATTTAAACCACGACCAAAACGATCTCGGCGATAGCGATCGATAGCTGTGGTAGTGGTATTTTCCTGCGTTTCAGCATTAGCAGCATATTGTCGATCGGCTTCACGTTCATGCTCTTTCATTTGTTCTATTCTTTCCTTTTTGGGTATGCGGAATATTTCCGGCAGGCTCTCCCAAGTGGTAATGAGTTTCACTGCCAATTTTTGCAATTCTGCCAATTCAGAACCCTCTTCAAAGTTTGCTGCTGTTTGCACGGGAACATCTTGTGAATTACTATTGCTACTGGAGGAATCTTCATTGGGTGATAGGTTGGTATTTTGGCCGCACCAATTGCGCACCACTTGCATAACTTTACTGTCTGTCAAGACTGTTTTGTTGGCTATAGGTAAAGTTTCTAAAGTTTGTAGCAGAGCGAGACGTATTTGCATATTACCAGCATCTTCACTCATCCAACCGTGCAACAAACGTAAACCATGATAATCCAAAAACAAACGTCTACAGGGCAAGTCACCTTGACGTAATATCTCCAGCAGATTAAGTCGTGTTTGTACCAGCTTAGCTCTTACCATTAGACGTGATAGACGCAAAGTATCGGATTGATTTTTCAGGCCACATTCCTTTAAGAATTCAACCTCATCTTCTATGTCGGGATCTTCCAAAAATCTTAATTTATTGCTTAAGTCGGTCGACGACTCCTTGGATTTCTTTTTGCGCTGCAGCTTTTGTTCACGTTTGTTTTGCTTTTGTTTGGCTGCCACTTTTTCAGCCATTTTCGAGAGTAATTTTTTGAATTTGCTCTTAGAATCTTCTTCGCTTTCGGATTTGTGGGTTTCTTCTTCTTTTGGTGCAGACTCTTCCCGCTTAGCTTTTTCCTCCAGCAACTGCAAGGGGGCCAATTCAACTTCTGCTTGAGCAGCTGCCATTTCCAATTGTTTTTGCACTTCCTCTGGATCAGCCTCACTAGCATCACTATCTTCATCATCATCTTGTACCAGAAGATTAGAGGTATCTGCCTCCTCTTCTTCAGATTCTTCATACTCATCATCGTCATCTAATTGTTCGCCTTCATCGGAAGTTGGTTCTTGACCAATCCATCCAGTACAATTTGCCGATTCACAATAACAACGTTGGGCCTCTCTGCCATATCTTTGATACTGGTAGTTAAACGTAATTTCCTCCCCCGGCATGATAGATTTACGGCTAAAGAAACCAATCCTCAATTCTCCATTTACCGTCCATTTTTGAGTTTCAGCATTGGGATCACAAGAGTGATTGATAAAACGTGATATGTTGCCCTTAATGGTGGCATCTATTATGGCATCACTTCTCAATGCCATGAAATAGTAATGACGGTTTTTGTCCTGAGAATACATAATACGACGTTTCTCAAACTCATCGGTGTCTATAACCTCACCCACATATTCCATTATAAACTCTCCCGGTAAGATTTCTATATCAGCCATTATGCCAAAGCCTTTCTTTTCGGTACGAAATACACGACAAGGAGAACACAGTAATTTCTGGAAACGTTTATTGGTGCAACGTTCCTTAACATTACATTCAGTGCCACATTCAATCATAAGCAAACGATTGAGACAATCTTCTCCACAGCCCAATTCACCACGTTCCTCTTCTTCGTGTGTCAGAAAACAATCACAAATCATTTTGCGGGCCTCTCTACTTATCACACGTTCACACAGATATTCATTTTCCTTTATGACTTGGAAATTGCTAAGACGTTCTTCCATTTCTTTAAGAAATTTGGCATTCTTCGCTTCCACCTCTGCCAAATCGGTAAGATGATCGTCTAGTGTGTAATGACTTTTGGTTTCTACATCATCTTTTATGGAGAAACGTTCTTTATCCTTAACCAAACCTCTGCCTACCAAAGCTTTGGGAGTTTTGGTTATAAGTTTAATACGATGTGATCGTCGGACTCCAGAAATTTCATCGGGTGTTGAGGATTCAATGGATGTAGGACTTTTGGGTGGTGGCGTAACACTGGGTGTATTTATGGGGGTATCAGCGGGGGTTTCAAAAGTATTGAATACGGGTTTTATTTCCTCAGTGATAGATTTTATAGGTTCCTCTACTATTTCAGTCGTTTTGGAAGGTGTAGTAGTAGAGCTGGTGGTTGTTATTACATCGTCCACACTGTCCTCATCTAGTTTATAATCTTTTTTCAAAAGATTAACACCATCTGCTATAAACTTTTCAATATCCTTTAAGGGATCTGGATCTTCTTCCGCTTCCACGGGGGTGACACAAGTAATTTTACTAGTTTCTGCTGTCATATCATTTGAAACTCTTCTTTCAGGCGGCGGTGAATTGTTAAGCAATGTCAAACCAAAGTTGCTGGCATTTGAAGAGCTGGAGGCTTCTGTTTTTAAAATTTCCTTGTTTTTTTCTATATCATCTGTTAGAGCCGCCTCAAAGGCTTCTTTTAATTTCTTTTGCCTTTTCTTTTTGGCTAATTTATCATCTAGAGATCTGTCTAAAGAAGAGTTAAGTGATTCACTTTCGGAATCTATAGTTTTTCTTTTATCCTCATTAAAGTCTTCATTTTGCTCCGCCTGTAATTCCTTTTTGTTTTTCTTTTTAGAGCCGGTCGAGGTTTGGGGTGTTTCTTGTTGTTGATTTTTAGGTTTTCGACCTCTTTTTGATGGTGGCGGTGTTGTGGTTATAGTGTTAGGATTAGTTTTTACTGCAGTGTCATCCTCTTCCTCATTTTTAGTTTTCTTGGTTAGTTTCTTTCCAACTGATTTTGTTTCACTTTTTGTCTGAGATGTATCACGTTTTTTCGCTACTTGTTTGGGAGTTCGAACTTCATCTTCTTTGTCTTTCGCAGGAGGGTTATCCAGAAGTATTGAGTATTCGGCTATAGATTCTCCTTTAGAAGTGTCACGTTTTTTGTTAGATTTTTTGCTAACTTTACCTTCATTTGATTCGTCGCAAGGTTTTAACGAACATTCTATGTTTCCTTGAGACACATCGCATGTTTCTGGAAGTTGCGGTTGAGTTTGCAAAGTTTCTTTCAAGCTTTCAGACGTTTCTTCAGTTTGTGTTAACTCAGGATTTGTTAAGCTGGGCATTGCTTTGGTTTTCTTAGATTTAGTTGTTTTACTTTCAACTTTCTCCTCCTGCTTTTGTGTTATTTCTTCTGATGACATCTGCTCGGATTTCTGGAATTGGCCTTCTGCTTCTTCGAGAGTTTCTTCATTAACTTCTTTCGTTTTTATGGGACTTTTAACATCAATATCTTCTTTTGCTGGTGTTACTTCCAAAGCACGATTTTTCGGCTTACGTCCTCTTCTTGCAGGAGTAACTTTAGTACTTTCTTGTACTTCAACTACATTTTCAATAGTTGTTATCTCAGTTTCAGCTGGTTCAGTCACCTCGGCTACTTTTTCTCTATCTTCCGGCAATGGTGAAATATTTTGCAATTTTTCTTCTATTTTATCGCCAATTTCTTCAACATTTAATGTTTGAACTTGAGGATCACTTGCTGTTTGTATACTAGGATCACTTTCGATTTTTGTAAAAATTTCCTCATTGTGTTCAGTACCAGTATTTGTTAAAGGATTTAATTCGAGTTGTGAATTCTCACCTGTGTTTTGCTCTTCATTTATATCAAATTCTTTAGCGGCTAATACAGCTTTTGAACTTTGTGCTGCAATTTCTGCAAATGTTTCCTCTAAAGTTTTGTGTTCTGAATCCTCTCCACGACGACTACGTCTTTCATAGCGCCTCGTTACTTTCTTTAGGGTCAAAGGTGATGAAGAATCCGAACGTGTAGGTGATTGTGTGATCTTTTTAAGTGTCAACGGAGAGGCCGAGTCCGAACGTGCTGGTGATAAATGGATTTTCTTAAGTGTTAAGGGAGACTCCGTATTAGATCGTGCGGGAGAGCTAGGTTTAGTTTCTTGTGAGTTTGTGGAATCTTCCTCAACTTTTGTTTGGGTTGTATTAGATTCTTTGAGTATTTCTGACAGATCATGTGATGTTTTAACATTTTCTTCAATTTGAACTTTAGCTGAACTCTCGCTATTATTATCAATCTCTGTTTTTGGGTTCGTTGAGGTAACTTTGCCTGCTTTCAAAGCAGCTTCTGTGTTTGATTGTACTCTACGTAAAATGTCCAATAAAGTATTCGTTTCAATGCTGACATTTTGTATTTGAGAGCTTAAAAGATTGCCCGATTTTTCCTGGCCACTTGCCACAGATTGCTGAGACTGGTTGTCTGAAGGATTTACTTCTATTTCAGGAGCAATATCAGCTTCCCTTATGACTTTTGGTACCTCTTGTCTCTCTTCTTCTAGTTTTTCTTTTTCTGTAGTACTTGACTGCTCCTTAAGTTTTTGTTGCATTATCTCTTCGATGGGAGTATTTTTTCCATTATTACTGTCAGTTTCCGATTCAATATCAGGACCATAAAGATTTTTAAAACGTGACTTCCTGCCCTTACGTTTAGTCACCTTAATTGTTTCTTCATTTTCTTGCTTCTCTTTTGATGATGTTTCCTCTTGCGTTTGGAGTGTTGAAGAGCTTTCTTGTGCAGTATCACTTGTTGATTCTGGCGTTATTTCAGGGGTATTTGAATCTTTTTGATTTCTTAAAGATTTTCTTTTAGCTAAGGAAGGTTGTTGAACTTTAGAGGAAGTTGGTGATTTAGAAGAATCTCTTGATATGATTTCTGGAGTTTTTTCTTCCATAGTTTGTGATAATTTGAATGGTTCAGCATGCTGTGAGGAGTTGATAAAGGTTGAAGAGTTAGTTTCAAGATTTTCTGGAGGAGTCAAGTCTTTGCTTTCTTGTGTACCAATTGTTACAGTATTTTCCATAGAAGCTTTAGAAGTTTCTGCATGCATTTCGTCACCTATGGGGGTTTCACTAGAACTGCTTACTGGTTTAGGTGATTCTTTAACCTTTTTTGATTTACTTCTTGTTGGAGTGTTTTCGTATGTCTCTTCTTTATTACCCTTACTTCTAGTTGTTGTGATTTGCTCAAGTTTTACTTTATCTGCAGATTTTTCTTCAGAAGTTACACTACTATCTGTTGTAGTTTTAGAAGATTCTGTTCCATCCAAAATATATTTAGTCTTATCTTTAAAGGAATTTTCTTGTTCCTTATCTTCAGAAATGATAGCTTCATCTTTAACACCTGGTTTCTCCTCGGTCAACTTGTTTTCTATTGAAGAAGTTTCCACTTTATTATGTTTCTTTCTAGTTGCTGCGACTCTCCCGGATTGCTCTGTTACATCTGCAGAGTCTTCTTCAATAGTCATTGTTAGCTTATCTCTAGGAGATAGACTTCGTTCTTTTGTAGACTCAAAAGATAGTTCTTGCATTAATTCCTGTTTTGTGTTTGGAGTGTCTTCCTTAATATTTCTTCTTCTAGTTGTTGCGATTTTAGGAGTTTTCTCTTGGGATTTTGCTGCATCAGTCTTATCTATCTTCTCTTTAGGTGATTGACTTCGTTCTTTTGTAGACTCAGAAGATGGTTCTTGCATTAATTCCTGTTCTGTGTTCGAAGTGTCTTCTTTAATATTTCTTCTTCTAGTTGTTATGATTTTTGAAGTTTTCTCCTGCAAATCCTTGGATTTTGCTTCATCAGTCTTATCTATCTTCTCTTTAGGTGATTGACTTCGTTCTTTTAAACTTTCACAAGAATGTTCGTCATCCTTATTGTTTCTTCTTTTAGTTGTGGCGATCTTCATAGTTTTTTCCTGTGAATCTATGGATTTTTCATCATTTGTCTTATCCAACTTGTCTTTAGGAGATTTACTTCTTTCTTTTGTAGTTTCTGAAGATTTTTCTGTCAATATGATGTCCGTTGTAGCAGTAATGTCATCTTTATTAGATTTCTTTTTACTTGGTGTGATTTTTGTTGTCTTCTCCAGCGAAATTGGAGAATTTTCATTTTTACTTGTAGTTATTTTTTCTATAGAAGATTGGCAGCTTTCTTTTGTTTCCTTAGAAGATTGTTCTTGTATTATCACATCTTTCACAGCAGAAATGGCTTCCTTGTAAGTTTTTCTCCTTTTTGGTGTGATTTTTGCAGCCTTTTCTTGTGATTCCTTAGATTTGTCTTCATTAATTGTGGTATTTATCTCTTTAGGAGATTGACTTCTTAATTTTATAATGGCAGAGGATGGTTCTAGTATTAATTCTTCTTTTGTCACAGTAGAATCTTCTTTATTGTTTTTCCTTCTACTTGATGTTAATTTTGTAACTTGTTCATGCAATTCCTCAGATTTTTCATTTTTAGTTGAAGAAACTTTCTCTTTAGGAGATTTACTTCTCTCTTTTGTAGATAAGGAAGTATGTTCCTTAATTGACTCCTCTTGTGTGGGATTATCATTAATAATGGCTGCTGGTAACTCTGATTCTTTTAATGAAATCTGTTCTTTATTAGTTTTGCTTCTAGTAGTTGAGATTTTGCTTACATCATCGCTATTATTTGACTTCTCTTTAGGTGATTTACTTCTCTTAGTTGCAGTTTCTACAGCTTTTTCTTGGTTCAACTCAGACTTCGTTAGATCTTCGTTTGCTATTGGCTTTTCTTCTTGAGTCGTTGACATTGTTTGGGAAATATCTTTTTTATTAGTTTTACTTCTAGTCGATAAGTTAAAGCTGGAATTTTGTAGTTCCGCCTCATGAATCTCTTCATTTGTTGTGTTTAATATTTGTTTGTCAGTTTTAGTTGGATATGCTGCTATATTCGAAGTTTCGGCATCATTTATATCCAGGACTAAATCAGTTTTCTGTTGAGCTTTTCTTTTAGAGAAATTTTGGCTAGAATATTCAGCTTGACTTTCAGAACTCACTTCCTTATTAGTTTTACTTCTAGTTACAGGGATTTTACTAGTTTTTTCTGCTTGCCCCGATATTGCCGATTCATCTGTTATGCTTGCTGTACTGTCAGAAGTTTCTGTTGCCACTGATTGCACCTCCTGTCCAGCTTTTTGTTGAGAAGTTTGCTTAGAATGTTCTTTCATGCTTATTTCCGTTTTGTCAATTTCTTCAGCTGGATTCTTTATTTCTATGACGTTGCATACTTGCTTGTTAGTTTTACTTCTGGTTGTTGGTGTTTCTTGTTTTCCCAAATTCTCAGTGGAGGGGCTTGCAACTCTCTCTGTTGTAGTTTTAGAAGTTTCATGTGTGTGTTCCTGTGCCATTGACTTATTTCCCAAGCTTGCTATATCCAACATTTCTTTAGTAGATATTTCTTGATGTGTTGTTGTATCCTCTTTAATAATATTTTGTCCCTCCTCTAGTGATGTCTGTTTTTTAAGTTTTCTTGGTGGTTGTTTTTTTACAGGTTGCACGCTTTTCAGCTTCTTTATTTGTTTGCTATCATTCGATTCATCGCTTTGTTCATCTTCTGCTGCTGGTGTCTTCTGTAATTCCAAAGACTTCTCTATATATTTTGGAATTTCCTGCTGCTCTTCTACTTCTTGATGTTTGGAGTTTTCTAATTTCTGTTGTTTTATGTCTGTTAGTTTGATTTGCAATTGTTGTTTTATTTCAACTTCTTTTTCCTTTAGCGTTTCATTGTCGGTTGTATTAGATTTATCAGTTTCGTTATCGTTTTCCTCACTGCTATTAACTTTGCGATTTCTTAAAGATTTCCTTTTTGCCATATTTTCTTTTGTATTTATAGAATCATTGGAGTTTGAGTCTAAATTTTCACTTAAAATGCAACTTTCTGTGGTTTCTAGTGAAGGTCCAGTCTGCGCTAAAGTCTGATCAACAATTTCAATTGATTTGTTTTCCTCTTCGGACAAACTAACTCGCTCTATTTTTGAATCTTCTGAATCATCTTGGTTTTCCATCATTTCTACAAATTTCTTTTGTAATCTTTTAGAACGTTTAGCTAAGGGTGGTTTCTTTTTAAGAACATTCGAGGAAACTGCATTAGAATTAAGCTCTTCCGAAGTAGAAGTTTGCGAAGAGGTAGACGGACTCTTTGGCAATGAAATGCGTTTGAGTGAAACTCTCAATTTGTCACCGGATTTATAAGAACGTCCCGAAGTGGAGGTGCCCGACGACGGATCCGATGAATAAGAACTGCGTTCAGAGGCATTTTCAGATTCTGATGAACTAGAGGTGCGTGAATAGGTTTTCATTGATCCTTGAGAGGGAGTAGAGGGCTGTGTTTGGCTGGTTAAAAGTAAAATATCAGCATCAGATAATTTTGTTTCAGGTGTACATTCATCTAGGATTTGTTCTGCAGTTTTACTTAAAATATCAGGACTTTTTATTTCCTCTTTTTCTATTGGTTGGACTGCAGTTTGTGGAGTTTCTTGTTTAGCTTCTTTAGGCGGTTTGTTAGTTTCCTGTGTGATTTTAGGAACTTTTTCTTCCAATTTAGTAGTTGAAGGTTGTGTTTTATTTTCAATTAACTCTTCACTTTTAGTAGGAGTTTCCCTGCTATCATCTTTTCTTAACTGTCTACGTGTGGAACGTATTGGTTGTTTAGTTATATTGATATCAATTATTTCAGATGTATTCGGTTGTGTGGATGTTATTTCTAAAGTATCAACTTTATCATCATTCTTATCAATTTTGACTTCTTCTTGTGTTTTAGTTTCTACTGGAGATTTAACTTGACTTCTTCTGGTTATATTTGCGCTTTTCAGTTCTGTGTCTTTCTTTTCAAATATTTCAGGAGATATTCTTGTGGATCTCCTACATGGCAGAGAATCTTTGACATTTTTATCATCCTGAAGCAAATGTGTAATGTTAGTATCTTTTAATTCATCTTGTTTTGGAGCAACAGCTTGTTTTCCTATTCCATCATCTTCAGATTCTCTTGATTTTGATTCAGATTTTGCTGTTAAAGAACTATCTTTTAGAGAAGTGAATTCTTTAGAATCTTTATCTTCTGAAGCGATTTGTTCAGTTCTTGCCGATATCGGTTTTGTATTTTCATCTTCTTTTGAATCTTTTACTTCAGTCTGTATTGTTTTTTCTGACAAGGCTTCAGTTTTTAAAGTCGTTTTGGTTTTTAACATTGTTTGTTTGCCCTTACATTCTGTTTTAGCTTCGATAGTTATCTGCTTTTCTTTCAAATCAATTTCTAGTGCCGGCGAATCACAGCTTAAATCTTCTTTACTGGTCTTAAAGCCACTAAAGCTACCATCATCATCTTCGGATTTAGAAATGTCAGATTGTTGTGTGTCCTCTAGGGTTAATGCCGTGGCAGATACGTTTTCACTTTGTTTCCATTTTAAAGGTGTTGATTGGGCACTTTCCTTTAAAGACTTGAATTCTTCTAGCTCTTCCTGCTGGCTGCTGGATTGTTGGGCCAAGCAGGCTTTATACTCCTTCCAATTTTTTGCCTTTTCTGGGGTAATTTTTTTCTTAGATACTTCCTCTTGGGCGGCAGTACTGACCACTGCTTCTACAGAAGTTTGTGTCTTAAATTTAGGCGGTCTACCTCTTTTCTTTAACTGGCCCATAGGTGAACTTTCCGTATCAGTAGAAGCCCCGGCTTTAGTTTCAAGTTCTAGAGTTTTATTAAGACTTTTGCGTTTTGCTGTGGCCGCTGTAGAGCTGGGTGTACTACTCTCTATCTGTGCCACAATAAGACTAGTAGTTTGTTTGGGTTTTATCATGACATTACTGAAAAATTCCTGGGTACGACTTAAACGACGCGAGCTAGAGCTGGCAGAAAATGCAGCATCTTTATTGTCATTAGCCTTACCCAGTAAAGGGGGTATGGGTAAAGGAGGCGGTGGTGGTTTGTGTTCCTGTGATATAGAGTAACGCCGGAAAATGGCAGATTTTTCCAAAAATGTTTTTTGCTTTGAAAGCAAATCTTCTCTCACATTAGTGGCAGCTTTTGAGTTGCCCACCTCAGTACCACCCGCTGTGTTAGCTTTGGAGGTGGTGGGTGCATTAGAGTCAATTCTAGCTTCGATTTGTATTTTGTGTGTCTTACGATTTTTATTTAGTAGGTCGCGTACATCAAATTTAATAATTTTCTTACGTGAACTACGTCTACACTCTGAGGCTGGGGCATTCGTCGTAGTTTCGGCCTCCTCTAAGGTGGGCGATATGGCTACGGCCGACACCTCCATGACCTCATTAGGTTCTGTAGTTGCTGCAGGCGACTGCGACTCATTGTTATTGGAATTTTTAGCCAAACGTCCACCACGCTTACGTTGATTACCATTTCCATCCATTATCGTTCGTTAATTTACTAGATTAATTGCACTTTTGTTGCAAGTTATCTTTTGTGTGACACCTTTATTGAAGCTACAATTTTATAGTTCTTTTTTCAAGAATATTCAAATTATTTTCATTGTAAATTTATAGATTTCTTACACTTTATCACTTGCTACATGTTTTTAGTTATTCATTTATAGATTTTCTTTACTTGTAATACATTTATGTTTAATATTATTTCTAATTTGAGTGAATTTTCACAAATAAACAATTTTTCCTCTCGTGCTCAGAGCCCTGCGCCGACAAATATTAACGGCGGCGGCGACTGACACTAAATATGTCGGCAACGGCTTAAAATCGACTTTAAGCCGGCTAAGTTTTCAACTACGTTTAGTTTTTAATTTTTCAACGATTTTAAATAAAAACGGAATCAGAGAGATCAGAAAGTAGGATTTTGGAAGCAAATATATTGTTTATAACAACAAAACAGAGCAAACTCAAAAGTTGTATGAGAAATTATGCAGGGATGAATAAAAAATTCTTAAAAATTAAAAACAAATCCTTTCTCCAAGTTTTACTAGGATCTGCCGATATTTAACCCTATCTTCCATATAAAACATCTTGCAGAAAATCAGTTTCTAAAAAATTTTGCATTAAGAAAATGATCAATAACGTAAAAACAAAGATTTGTTTATTTACTAGCTATACCCAGTGTGCTGTGCTACCCTAAAAGCAATATAAATAAGAAACCTACTTAACAATTTTGATGATTCTAACTACAATGGTTTTCCAGATATACATACAATTTGTTACATATGGGAGATTCCCCGCAAATTATTGCAATTTCGCCAATTATTCCGAACGTTAATTATACCCTACACCACTTTAGTGGGGAGGGTATATTGGGTTTGTGCTGATGTTTGTAACGCACAATAATATTGGTCCTATACCCACCTTAAAGTATACCAATCGGCTTAGAATCATTTTCTGAGTCGATTTAGCTATGTCCGTCCGTCCGTCTGTCCGTCCATGTAAACCTTGTAATCAAACTACTTGTAAACAAACTAGCCCCCATACAACTGAATACTTGAATAGGGCTTGTAAACCTTGTAATCAAACTACAGGTCGCAATTTTGAAGATAATTTCACCTAGCCCCCAACCCGACGAATAGGGCTTTTAAATTCATAATTATGTTTAATATACTCGTATCTCAACAAAAAGCTGCAAAACCAAGTGCTATACTAGCCTTGATGACTCTCATGAATTTTATAATTATAGGGTCTCATTTGACCAAAGCCCCCTTCAAAAATTTGACTTAAATGTCCACAATTTTATTCAACAATAAATGGCTTAAGTATATCTGAGGCAAGGTACAATTCAACTACAATGCTTTATTATGAAAACAAAATCACATTTCATTTTTGTAACAGGTGTAGGGTATTATATGGTCGGCCTGGCCCGACTATAATTTCTTACTTGTTAAGATTTTAATTTAATCTATGAAAAAGTTGAATAATCTAATAGTTTCCAGATATACAAAATTTTGTATTTAATTCATATGGGAAGTGCCAAGCCCCCCATTGAAAGTCCGCCCGTTATTTTCTAAATGTTCTTCAGTAAAATTTGATGATTCTAGCTCTAATAGTTTCTCAGATATACGAATTTTTCTATTTAATTCATATGGGAGCTCCAAGCCCCCCAGATGAAAGTCCGCCCTTTTTTCTCCAAAATGTTCAGATGAATATTAAAGTTATTCGTGCAAAATTTGAAGAATGTAGTTATATTAGTTTCCCAGATAAACGAATTTTTGTATTTAATTCATATGGGAGGTTCCGCTCCCCTCATTGGTAGTCCCCCAGTTTATTACCCAAAATGTTTACATGGATGTTAAAGTTCTTCCAGAACAACATCATTTAAAGGGATCACAAAGAGATTGAAAAATATTCCAAAAGTTTCACTTTGAAAACATTATTAGAATGTATGAAAACTCGCAACTCTAAAGACAGACTATTCCTATTTTAGCGGTAATTTATGATTAAAATAAGTAAGAAGTAAGAGTTATATTCGGCAAAGCAAATTTCGGAAGTGGTCCGATCATAAGATTAATAAGAACGTCAACGTGATTTTCGGATTAGGGACTTAAATGTGGAATTGGATCAATAATATATATAATTTAAAGTATTTTTTGTTAATTCTACCATAATTCTATCACAATGATAACTTTTGGAATGATGTATTAGCTATAAACTGATTTTCTGTAAGAGGGTTATATTGGCGGACCGATCCTCATAATTTTATTTTTCATAAATGTAGGTTTCGGTTCCTAAAAATGTTTATTTCGTCGACATCGACATTTGAAAGCCATTTATGTGCGTTTAAATCATTATCTGAAGAAGATTTCATTACATATTTTCGTTCCAACAAAAATTGTTTTATTATGGTATTATTAAGTACGTAGAAAACGTTAAAATCAATTATTGAAGGGGGCAGGGTCAATTATGGCCTATAGAGATTTCGATTGATATCGAGCCCTTTTTGCAAAATGGACGTAAGCGAGATAAATTTTCGTTCAATTAGGATACTGCGTGTTTAATTTTAAGTTTATATATTCAATATTTTAGAAAATTCAAAAAGTACCAGTTAAAGAACGAAAAATTACCAGAAATACTCCAGTTTAAATTTTCATTCACTCAAGTCCCTGATTGCTTAGTTTTATGTTTTTAGGTTCATTATAAAAGAAAACTCAAAAAGTACCTTTTGAAGAACGAAAAAGTACCAAAAAAGTCCACTTTTATAGATTCTCAAGTGCTTAATTACATGTTTCTAAGTTCTAAGTCAAAAAACAACATCGTATTGGGAGCCCGTTATTATGTATTCATATGTATAAGTTAATAAACCAAAAACAATGTTTTATAAAAAAGTACCAAAAAGTAGATACAATTTTCACCCCTTAAACGTCCGAATATCCAAAAAGTACTAAATTCATATTTTTATTTATTCGTCAAGTTATGAAGGATTCAAAAATATTTTTTGAATGTTCTCTGGTTTAAAAGATACATGGGGTGCAAAAGAAGTACCAAATTACAGTTTCTACCCGTTAATTCTCCAAAGGGGCCGAATTTGAAAAAAGTACCAGACACCTGTCCGCTTATTTTTTAAATGAACGACGATAAGCTTTAAACTGTTTTTGTATCTTTTATAGTTTAGGAGATATAAGGTTACCGAATTTACCCGTTTTTACCATTTTTAACACCCAAATCATTCGAATTTCCAAAAATCCCGTCTTAGTGGATCTATTTGGTGGGAGACCAACCTCTTGTCCAAATTTCAGCTCTTTAGCTAAAACCGTTTAGGCTCTACGATGATGAATCAGTCAGTCGGTCAGTCAGTCAGTAACGTTAGAATTTTATATATGTATGTATATAGATTTCGTGCATTGAATTATACTGTAAAAACATTGTAATGTTCGACTTGAATTCAAGTTGCGTTTCACTGGAGAATGCTATTGAATTAAAGTGTATTTCAACACTTGAAATTTGAATGTTTGACTGGAATTAAACTTGTTTTAAACTTTAACTCCAGCAAGAATGCTTATTTGGTATAGTGTGACAACTATAAGGGACCTAAAGTCGACATAAAGCCCACAATGGTTAGTACCAATATTTTGCCCAAACAACATCTACATACATACCTAGCCAGGTTATATCCTCTAGGTCCGTGAAGACATTCTCTACAAAGCTATAAATTTGTATAAAAGGCGGCTTAACAATTGTTTCTTGTAAATATTCGGCCACCATAGTGTTTGGAGACAACAAGAGCTTCACTGAAAGGCACACCAGACAGACATCGCGCTCTATTATGGGTGTATGGTAGTGATTCTGCTGAGATCAATGCTATAATAATAAGTATGTATCCCAAGGATACCCCCTGAATACGGCAATCAGCTTCCGTCCATTGCCTAGGTGACTAGGGAGGTATATAATTGCCACACTCTTGTGGGCATTCTTCCAGGAGGCCATCATGATGCCTCCTCTTTCTTGAAAAGAAAGACGTTCTTTATAGACAAATAAATAATTAATTAACAGTATTACTTACATTTTTTAATCTTCTAGATCCCACTAATATGCCAAATCTAGATTTCAATAAACACTTTTAAGTATTAAACGAAAACAAACCCCGCCTGGAAAAACATTTTCATCATAGTTATTAACAATTTAACTAAATTAAATCCAACGCTTGCTGTTTCTTTGCTCAATGACCCTCGGTATAGTAGTATAGCATACAATCTTATTATTAATTTCAATTGTTAGTAAAAAATTATTTTTTATTTAAAGAATATCTGTCATTTTAGATTTTTGCACACACACAACAACAGATTTTTTGTGGCAAATAAAAAATGCAGAAAACAGTTTGGCGCGAAAAATTCTGCTAGCAGAATTTCTTTTCGCAGTCGGCAGAATTGACATCAACTGCACTTCCAATTTGAAATACACATGTTCGATACCCTAGCCCTTTACGGTATGACATACCAGCAATGTAAAAAGGTGTAGCTCCGTTGACGTCAACGAAGCTGGTTTGAAGTCAAAGCAGCGACTCGAATTAGGCGCGAAAACACGAAAATATCTGAGGCGAATCATATACATCGAACGTTGATCAAAGTTCTACACCGGCCAAATTTCAATGAGCGGCTTATTATTAGATAAAAGAAAACTTGCTTAAATGAAAACAAATTAATTTTATATTGTAAAATTCCACAAATTTAGCGAAAGTATTCTGTAAATTGTACAAAATATGGCGAAATTTTCAAGCCGTATTAAGCTGAAAAATTTTCGGCGGCGGCGGCTTTGACATTTAGTTCGGCGGCTAGGCTTAGTCGGCTTAAGCCGAATCGGCGCAAGTCTCTGCTCGTGCTTCAGTTTTTCGTACAGCTGTTTAATTTTTCATGTTATATATCAAAGCTGAGTGCGTGTGAAAATCATAAACAATAATAATTGTTTAAAATTTGGCAGCACTTTTATGGAATGTTGCCAGAATTTTTAGAGAAACAAATTTGGCAAATTGTTTGTGTGCGTAGCGGTTGTGTGTAACAGTTAAGTTTAAAATAAAAAATGTAAAAGATGCCTGCTGGACAACTTTTTAACAATTTATGTTAAATAACAAATGAAAGTCGTTTTTCCTTGAATATATTCCCATATGTGTTATGGAAACACAATTTTATTGTTCATTTATGATTTGTTTTTCTTTTAAAAACTTACAAAAATGCAGTTATTTTTCCCGATTTAACATGATTTACTCATACTGAACAGAATAATTAACTTTGACAAATAAATTATAAAACTTATAGAGAGGGAGTAGGGGTAGAAACACTTTAAATAAATTATACATTTTAAGTAATTTCTAATAGTAACCAGCTAAAGTTTGTCTGTCAACAAAATATTTATTGTTTCTGTTCTTCTGCATTATTCAATTCCGCTGGATGGGCACGATTGGGATCGTCAGGTTTCATGGCGGGGAATAATAAAACTTCCTAAAATTTGAAAAAAAATTAATACAATTTACAATAAAAAATTAAAATTTCAGTAAAACTCACCTTAATATTATTGGCATCTGTTAGGAACATGGTTAATCTATCAATGCCCATACCCCAACCACCGGTAGGTGGCAAACCATATTCCAAAGCTGTACAGAAGTTTTCATCTACAAGTTGAGCTTCATCATCACCGGCTGCCTTATCACTGGCTTGTTGTTCGAAACGTTCCCTTTGTACCATGGGATCGTTTAATTCGGTATAGGCATTGCACACCTCTTTCTTCATAACGAACAGTTCAAAACGTTCGGTAAGACCAGGTTCACTGCGATGATATTTAGCCAAGGGTGACATAATTTGTGGATGTTCACAAATAAACGTGGGATTAATACAGGTCTCCTCAATAAATTCACCCACTAATTTGTCCAACAAACGTGCTGTAGTTCTGGGAGCAGGGCATTCAACATTATGTTTAATGCACAATTGTGACAAGAATTCATTGGTCTCCTTGGTATTTAACGTAGTGGCTGAAGGGAATTTTACATTCAATTTCTCTTCCAAGGTTTTAATCATGCTAACCCTTTTGAAAGGTGGTGTAAAATCGATTTCTTCTTCAGGTCCCTCGGGTCCTTCAGGATGATATTTGATTTTATAGGTACCGTGAATAGCCTTTACCATGCCCGATACCATTTGTTCGGTCATTTCGATAAGGTCGTGATAATCAGCATAAGCCATATAGAATTCGCATGTTGTGAATTCAGGATTGTGTGTCAAATCGATACCTTCATTACGGAATTGTCGGCCAATTTCGTAAACACGATCTAAACCACCGACAACCAACATTTTGTGATACAACTCAGGAGCAATACGCATATAGAGATCCATATTTAAGTCGTTGTGATGAGTAATGAATGGTTTGGCAGTAGCACCTCCAGCAATCATATTCATCATGGGTGTTTCTATTTCAAGGAAACCCATGCGATCTAAAAATTGACGTACGTAAGAAATGATCTGTAAGAGAATTGAAACAAGGGTGAAAATTTAGAATATATGCAGGAAAGTATGAACAGAAAAAAACTTCGAATATATGTAAGTAAATTTTCCATAGAAATGGAATTCCATTTCTAAAGTAAATAGACTGCAATCGAAGTATAATTCTATTCGAATCGAAGAAAATTTTCCTATAGAAAAGCGAAGTCAATTTTTCTATAGTAAGGAAGACAATTTTCCAAGAAAAAATGTTCTCGAAACGAAGTTAATGTTTTCACCGATTTTGTAATTGATAATCTCACCTTGGCACGAATTTGGAAAGTTTCACGAACTTTATTGTTCAAAATTAAATCCAAATAACGTTGACGGAAACGGGTCTCCTTATCCTTTAAGCCAAAATGCAAGTGAGGCAACATATGCAAACAGGGCGACAATAATTTGATCTAAAACAAAAAGTATAATACAAATAATAAAATCAAACTATTAAGGAAACAACATTTTTCCTTACCTCTTTAGGAACAACGGATAATTCACCCTTTTTAGTTTTAGCCGGAAAACCATTAATACCAATAATATCACCGCGTCTAATTTTACCAGTATCAACTTCAAAATCTTGTTCACTTTTATACAATTTGGCATTGGCCATAACTTGCAGCTTGACGCCTTCACCGCGTAAATCGTAGAAAATCAATTTAGCACCAGATTCACGTATGGCATGGACACGTCCGGCAATGCTAATTTTCAAATATAAAAATTATTATTTAAAAATAAAATGTCCGTAAGTATATAAAATCTTACCTTAATTGTTCATTTTCCAACATTTCACCTTCCTTAAGATTAGTATATTTATTAATATAGTTCTCTAAAGAAATACTGACATGGAACTTATGAGGATAGGGATCAGTTTCGGGAGATTTTTTCAATTCAGCCACAGCTGCTGTACGCAATTTGAAATATTCATTGGGGGAGATTTCCTCCTCGGAAGCAGCAGATTTCTTTTTACCCTCACCGCCAGCAGCGGGAGCAGTAGCCACTTTATTAGCTTCCTTTTCGGCCTTTTCTTTGGCTTTCTGTTCGGCCTTCAAGCGGCGTTTGAGTTCGCTAAAAAAACAAACACAACAAACAATAAATATTGGAAATTTTGTAATTATTTCTTAATTTACAGTTTTGTCTTTTTGCTGGGCTGTTGTAGACTAGCCGAGGTATGGAATAAAGTTGCAGCACTTTGTAAGACATGGCGTTTTACACTGGCAATCTGAGCAACTTTTGCACAACATTTCATCACACTCAACATGTTTGTTTTGTTTTTCTTTATTAAATCACTCGTTTTATTAATAATATGCCTAACTATTTTCTTTAAATTATAAGGAATTTTATAAAATATTAAACATTTTCTTATGCCGTCTAATAATTTTTAAAATTGCGTGTATGATTTCATCATAACCTCACATTTTTTGCTAATATTCTGGATTACCGACGACAACGACTCATTCAATTCTTTTTGACAACACGGCAGACAGTAGGACTTTTTATATGTTTTTAAGCACGTTTTTGTTGTTTTATCGATTACTTACTTTTTTGAGATTTGACCAGATTCTGCCATAGTTTATAAATTATCTATTAATATAGTTAAATGATTTATTTTTATAAAATAAATAAATCTTTAAGCGTCGTGTCCAACAGAAATATAAAACACAAACGTACACTCAAAAAATTTACAGTGAAATGTCAAAATTGTTGGCGCATGCTTTGGGGTAAAAGCTGCCAGATGTGTTGCTTTGGGGGAATAACAGTAGGGTGGTAATAATGCTACCAGAAAAAGACAAATAATTATAAAGAATGTAAGATAATTTGTTAACTAAATTTATCAAAATTTAAGTTTAGAAGATTAATCAATCTTATATATTTTTTTTTATAAAATTATAGAATTTTTAATTTTTTTTTTTTAACAAACAACTTCTGATTTTAACCCTTCTTCGCTTTTACAACCTGTTCATGATATGGCATCACATACAAATTTGGCAGCTTTGCAGCAGCAGCATAAAAACAACAAAAACAAAAATCTCTTTTTTCAGAGAAACTTTTAGCAAAATGTCAAATAGTGAAAATTTTTTCCTGGTGTTGAGTTGATAAAATTGCTAGAGTGTGAAAAATTTAAAATAATTATGGAAAAAATAAAGTTTTTTAAAGAAAAAGTAAAGAAAAACTTTAAATAAATATTACTATTTAACATTAACTAAAGAAATTATAAAAAAATATTATTTTTAAGGCAATTTATTTCAAAACAAAATGGGTCATACAAAGGCAATTAACAACCAGGAAATTAATTAAACTTTTAAATTAAATACTCATATAAAACAAAAATAGATTTGTTAAAAAAAGTGTTTTTTAAAAAATGCACAAATTATTAAAAGTTTTAGCATTAAATTTGCAAAAATTTGTATAGTTTTCAAAAAAGAAAAAAATATATAAAATCTAAAAAAATTAAGAGAGTCCTATGTAATTAGAGCATATTTAGAAAAATCTATAAATCAAAAGTAGAGCAAAAAGAAAAGTGGAGAAAAGTCAATCAAAGAATATAACGATCAAAACAAACAAATAAAAATAATGCAAAAATGTAAATAATAAATACATTAGAAATATTTAACAAAAAAAGTAATGTAATTATTTCAACTAAAATTATATAACAATAAAAAGCTTGTCATGAATATTTTAAATAAAACAAAGGGAGGAATTTTTACCATGAAAACATGTGTAATGCTATAGAAAAGGTTTGTTAACATTCAACTCATCTGGAGCAAATAGATAGTGAAAGGGAATTTAAAATGGCGGAGGGTGGTTTAAGCAATTGTAAACAATCTACTCTAACGCCGGCAACAAGTGGCGAATGTGGTGGTAACAACATAGAAATGAATAAAATCCATGAACAAAAGGAGTTTAACACTGACAGTAGCAACAGCGGCAGCAATTGTCTTACTACTTCTGCCACAGCTAAACAAATAACAACAACAACAAATAATGTAAACAATAGTAATCCAACCACCCTGAATAATAGCAATAACAATAACAACAATATTAGAATGAACTACGAAGATAATAATGATGACGAAGATGACGATGAGAGTAATCAAACATTTTATGAAGCTGCCGGTGAACCGGAACTAGTATTGACATTTGAAAAATCATTGAAAACAACAAATGACGTCACATCATCATCATCATCAGTAACTTTGCCGCCACCACCACCATTCTCTCTGTATGGTGTAAATAATGCAGATACTAATAATATTACTACTACTGCCAATGTGCAAAAACACCAACTACATTTGGATGAAAATTTTTTAAGTGTTCAAATGGATGAAAATGCTACTGCTGCTACTGGTACGTGTGGCGATGGTCTCAATGATTTGGATGAAGAAGAATGTGAAGGTGCTGTCGGTATCATTTCTTCCATAAAGGAGGCATTGAAAGATGAAGAAGAAAAGGAGTTGAAACTTTTGTATACGACACAAGATGATTTTATTCAAGTTGAGCAAGAAGTTGAGCAACAGCCTGTTGTGATGAGGCGAAAGCGAGATAAATGTAAGTATATTAAGAAATATCTAGACAATAGACTCGAATATAGTTAATACTAAAGACAAAACTATAGACTAGACCCTTGCATAATTAGACTAATTTTGCCAAGGACTAGACTGCAGACTAGACTAGACTAGACTATAGATTAGACTTAAAATAAAGTTAAATTTCAGTATATTTGCCCCAAGTTCAACTTCCATTTTTATTTTTCTTACTTTCAGCTCTTAAAGACTTTAATCACATAAATAAAGTAAACTACTCCAGTGCCGAGGAAGAACAAGCCCAAAAGCAAAGACAACAAACTCTACTAACTACAAAATCATGTGAAACTCCAGCTTCTACAACAACACTCTCACCTACAAATTCCTACAATGGAAGTATTGGTAGTGATGGTGGCGGAAGTGTAGGAGGAGGAGCTCGACGTAAATCATGGACTTTGTCGCCACAAAGTGGTACCTCCACACCCTTAAGCGGAGCTAAAAAGAAAGAAAAACGTTCTAGTGTAAAATCACCTGCTTCCTCCACGCCAACAGCGTCGACAGCCACCGATTCCTTTAACTTGTGGATAGCACGTGAATGTTATGAAACCGTACCGGCAGAAACGGTATTCGAAGTTGACGACACTACTCAAAGTATAGTTAGACCAGCCAGTTTTACTATAGATGAAGAGGCCGATGAAGAAGCGGCGGCAGTGGAAAGTTTATTGGGAGCGGCGGCAGCTTTACATGCCTCAGCTAGCGCTAATAAGGAGGCCCAAATACATAGAAGACAAAAACATTTGCGACAGCCACAGCATCGGCCTTTAGAAAGATCTTGGCCCCCTAGAGCTCTGGGCAGAGATTTTCGTTTACAGGGGGATGTATTCAAATTTGATATCTTAGACACTGATGATTCTTTGGAGGCAGCTTATGGTTCCTCCAATGGATTTGCTAGTAATTCTAACAGCTGCAATAATTCCCCTTTGTTTCTTTTGAATAGTGGCAATTCCTCCTCTAACTCTAGTCCTCAATATGAGTTAAACAATGCCACCCCTTCTTCGCCGGCCATGAAATTTAAACCTTTAATTAAGAAGAAAATTGGGCCAGATAGTTATATTAACACCATAACCACCAAAAAAGTGCCAGCTACGGAAACCTATGAATTTCCAGCATTCCCCACTAAAGAGACAACTTCCATTAATCAATTTCCACAAACTCCACCCAATACTTCCGCTGTATCTTTGAGACAACATAGGCCTCTCACTAGAACCCTTTCAAATGGTAAGGCGGGTTATGAAGAGCGTCAATCACAATCACCTAGTAGATTAATGTTGTCTCCCAAACGCCACCGTAGCCCACCATCAGGTTGCTCTACACGCAGTGCTTCACCTTTGGATTTTCAATTATCACCAGAAGCCCAGGTATTGGGACAAACACAACAGGTGTGCTCAACAACAAATGCTATTGCCGCGGCCACACCTTTAATACACAACCGACCACAACAACGTTTGCTAAAACGTGTAGGCGGGGTGGGGGCAGGTGCTAATGCTGCCAATTTAATATGTCCTCCAACACCAACCCACCATGCTCGACGTCATGCCCGCATGCAGGCTGCTGCAGCTGCTAATATGGCCATCACTAATAATAACCTAGATGACACATATATTGGCTCTAGTCCAAGGGGTAGTGGGGGTGGAGCTGAAGCTTTAGGTGGTGGTGCTGCTGCTGTACATACTAGTCATTTAGATTATAATTATTTATCTGCAAGAACACCACCTTCGTCACCAGCCTTTCAAGGTTCTGCTAGCATGCGTAACGAGGAACGTGTACGTACTGCTGATATTGTGCAATTGGCAGGAAGCTCTGCCGCTGCGCATCCTCATCTAGAGGGTGTAGAAAATGAGGACGATGAGGATGACAATGCTACTGATGATATGGGTGTGGTGCATATAACCAGCACCCGTTTACCCTCTATACCCGAAAGGGGAGCTGCTGGTGGACTTTTGCGCACAAGCGCTATTTTTTCAGCCGAAGCTGATCCTGCTAATGTACAAGTTGCTGCTGAACCTTTACCCCCCGCCTGGGAAGCTAGAATGGATAGTCATGGACGCATTTTTTATATAGATCACACTACCAGAACTACATCCTGGCAAAGACCAGGTTCTAACGGCTCTGGTTCACTCAATGGTCCCGGTGGTCGAGAGCAACACCATCGCCAACAGCTAGATCGCAGATACCAGTCTATACGTCGTACTATAACCAATGAAAATCGTTCAAATGCTATTGCTGCCGTCACTAATAATACCGCCTCCAACGTCAACGACTCGTCAGCTCAACAGACCTCGCAATCTTTAACACTCCATCAACACCACAATAATAACCCAAATGCTTCAGCTCAATCCGCTTTTAACTTTCAACATGTCAATCTCTCGGTACACCCAGCTGTTCTAATGTTATGCCGTCCGGATTTTTATTCCATGCTTCATACCAACGAAGATGCATTAGCCATATACAATCGTAATGCTGCCTTAAAACATATGGTTATACGTATACGTCGTGATCCTTCGTGTTTTCAACGTTATCAATACAATAAAGATTTAGTTGCTCTTGTCAATTCGTTTGCTCAACTAAATCGTGATTTACCCTCGTGTTGGGAGACGAAACTCGATCAGTCGGGTAAACAATTCTTCATAGATCACAATAATCGCCAGACTTCATTTATGGATCCACGCTTGCCACTAGAGTGTCCACGCATAATACGCCATCGTCATCAACAGCAACCTTACGATTCAATCGATGGCAATTGCATGTCATCGGGTAATCCTCCCTTGCCACCGCCCCGTCCCATATCGACGACATCAACCTCATCAGCAGTCTCAACAAATCGTCAAAGTCAATTTATGCAAAATGATAATATGCCACATTATACATCATCCTCATCGTCGTCAGCTTATAATAATGGTCCCAGTTCTTCGAGTGTTTCAGCTAATAATGGTTATAATGAGGTTCCTGTTGCCTACAATGAAAAGGTGAGTGTGTGCTTTAATTTTAATGGTAAAACAATTGCATATATTTACATTCTGAAGTGAAAGTTAAATTCCTTTCTGCTTTTGTTACTAAAGAAGAAAAGGACTGTCTATTCTTCGAATTAAATTATTTAAACAGATCTTATAGGACTTTTTATAGTAGTGTCGAAGGTTTAAATCTTCGCCCTAAAGAGAGCGAATTGATAAACATAGACGACAGGTAGGGTGGCGTGTCAGAAACAAATATTTTATTGTTGAAACGGAATAACTCAGTGCGCTAGATCTAGTATACCAGGAAAATAATCTTAAACTATCCGCGGCGATTATGGGATACTGTTGCATCTGATACTAGTAACTTCAGAGAACAACTTTGGTTGATGTTTGATGATATAATGACCGGAATGTCGCTGGAAAACACCTAAAGTATATTCAATTGTACCGACAAAGAGTATCCTGTATCCAAATCTAATATTTAGGGTGACTCGTTACTTGACTTTCCAACAGGAATTGTCTAGTCAACAAAACATTACGTTGTCTGGACGACAGTCTTATCATATAGAAGATATTTCACATTCGTCGCCTTCGCACATTCGGTTGCGATTCACAGCTTAATCTCTCTGCCAAAAAGAATTCGAATATAGCCTCAGAATTTATCCATCACATCGTGTTCTAAAGTCTAAAAATATGTCACTTTTGGCTCCTTTTGAGCTGCAGTAACTATTCTAGATTAAGGCATTGATACATTGGATATTTCTTAGATTGGAAGGCGAATATAAACATACGAGAATCTTTGATACGAAATTCCCCAGTCATATTAGATTGTCTGTCTTCTCTGCATCAACTCAGTTTCAACTGAAAGCTTTTCCGAAATCTATCTTTTTAATTTTATCTTTTATATACAGTATCATACAATGTATGAACTTTTCTTATTTTGAATGAAATGGTTTGGGAAAACAGTAGAAATGTTCGCTTGAATAATATTTATTAAAAAATTCTTCCTAGATATGAATTTTTTTCTTTCCTTTTAGTTTAATAACAAATCTGTTTTAATCTATAGTAATTATATGGTTTATATTACTCCTTTTTTTCTAGGTTATTGCATTTTTAAGACAACCCAATATCATAGAGATTTTACGTGAACGTCAAGGTCAAAATAATGTTTCACGATCGTTAAGGGAAAAAATAAATATTTTAAGAGTTGAAGGTGTACCAGCTTTGGAAAGATTGGCGCATGATTTACAGCTAACAATGTTATTAAGGTAAGTGATTAAAAAATGTATAATATAATAACATGTTAAGTTATCCTTACGCAGTTAAATGCCAAACTGAAATATTTTTCTATAAATTTCTAAATAATAAAATATGTATATAATTGAGTTATTTATTCATATTTATCCATATAAATAAAAAGCAAAAGATTTGAGCGTGTGAATAGTAACAAATAGTTTAAAATTATTGTAATAAATGTTAATTTATTTTGACAAATACTACACCCATTTTATGGTTAAAGGTGTCATATAAGTTTCATTTGAATCGATTAAATTCATATAAATATTTTTTTCTATAAAGTGCTAATTAAGTAAAAAAATGTATTAGTGGGAGTGTCGCGAAGATGAGAGGTCAACTCAGGTATAAAAAAGCAATAAATGTATTTTGCAAAGTGAAAATAATATTGCATTCTATAACATAAACTAGTATAAAGTTTTCTTTAAATTTCTATATTTTATGTACAAAATCGTATATATTTTTTTCTTGAATCAGCACTCAGGGGACGAACCCTACTCATGCAGTGCATTGTGCCGGAACTAGGAAAATAGGTCGTGGGAGGGAGGATAGAGGGAGTAGCGTTTGTGAACATTTGACTTAAATCTTTTCACATTGAAAGTTGCGGGGAATACTTCTACAGGACGTTTGTTCATCATGTCCATTATAGTATCGATAGAATAGTGAAATATACCCCACGTTGCGTCGGTGCTCCAGTGATTCAATAGAGTTGGATACCCTACTGTCACCGATAAGTACCTCTCTTGTACGTGGTCTAGTAGCTCCAAAATAGTCTTCAAGGCTTCGGCCCATACAAGAGAGTTTTATTCCATTTTCGCTCTAATATACGTTGGGTAAGAAGATCAGTTGGAGTGATGTATGTCTTACACCGTTTTAAAAAACCGAGACATTTGAATGCTTCTTTTGACACTTCAAAAATGTGTTTAGTATATCGGACATCGTACTATATTTTCCTTAATATTTACACCACCCATAAATAAAGATGCACCAACATTATCTGCCATACGGCGTTAAAATCGACAAGGCGTGATCGAGCGATTCATTAATATTGCACCTTATTGCCCCAATTTCTAGAGGGCTTGATCTATAATTGAATTAATAATAATGGCAGATATTGCTGTCATCGGCAAAAGTGTAGATATAGTTGGAAGTTTGACATAGAAGGTCATTGATGAAAATAAGAAATAGGATAGGGGAAATAAGGGAGCCATGTGGTTCCCCTGGAATTAATCTTGAACTCGTTTTATGAGATCCCATCTATAACAATCGTATAAGTGCGATCTCTGAGAAATCGAGTGAAGTTATTACCGACGCCAAATGCCATCAGTTTTTTTACAAGTGCACCATGCCATACTCTATCAAATGCCTTGGAAATATCTAGAGCCTTGACACGATTTCTCCTAATGAAATGCCAGAAGGTCTCTACGAAAGCCGTACTGACGGTCGTTAAGTAAATTGTTAGTCTCTAGATATTTGACAAGATGGAAATTAACCATAATTTTCATAAAATTGGAAAGTGCAGAACAGATTGCAATTGGGCGATAATTTTCAGGGTTGTTAGCCTCTCCCTTTTTAGGAATTGGCGTGATATTAGCAATCTTCCAGCATGTAGGAAATTTACCGGCATGGTGTGGGATGCTGAAAAGATTACCTAATGGGCGAGCTAGTGTCGAAGAGCACTGCTTCAAGACCAGTGCCGCTATGCCATCAAGTCCAGGAGACTTATTTATGCTGAGATCCGCTAAAACCGTTTTAATGCCACGCGCTCGAATGAATATATTAGGCATAGTTACTGATACCTTTTCGAGCTCGGGCATCTCCGGCAAGCAAAAATTATTTACGAATAACTCAGGTGAATGTTTGATTGGAATTGAAGAACTAGCATTATTCTTTACACATTTTACGAACGACCAAAAGGATTTGTTACCTCTAGGAAGCAGCAAGAACCTTAGCACAAAGGCGCTGCTCGTCTGGAACTTTTTCGCGTCTAAGCACTCTGGCACACGAATACCTCGCCTTTTTGCGCAGCGTGTCAGTTTGGTCGTTTTTATTATTACGCCAAATTCTGAAAGCTTCCTCTCTGTATCTGATTGTACTTCCGATTAAACCGATTAAACCTTTGCCTATTTCTAATCGACGATTTTTTTTAAGGAATGAATGTTTTTATTCCCAAAAATTTTCGCCATGGCATTGACATTATCGTCTAGGAAACAATGTTTTTAAATGAATTGTTTCAAATGAATTGTTGAAGTCAGTCCAACGAGCCTTTTCGAAGATAAAAATTGAACGTTTCGTAGCTGGTTGTGAAACGTTGCGACGTTCGGAAATGGTGCAGGGATCCGAATTTCAGAGAAATGCAAGAGCATCCACTTCATTCTTGTCAGGGTGTGAAGTGATAAAAAGATCGAGGGTATTATGTTGTTGTCCTTCAACACATGAGATATTGGTTCATTTACTAATTACGCAAGAATAGTTCAGCATATTGACCTTCTAGAGTTGTGTGACTTGAATGGTGAACATTAAAATCACAAGCAACTACAATTTGTTTTTAGCGGCAGGATCACCGAGTTTATCGATTCTTTTTCATGTAAACAATTTCTGCAGTAACAGTTAGTTGGGTCCCTTATACCATGCAACATGTGTCCAATGATACAGAGCTCAGTAAATATATCTTCCAAAGCATATTTGGGTATTCTTCACAAAACTTGTGACTTCTGGCGTACATTCCTAGATTCTATTCACTACTGTAGCTAGGTGACTCTACATATGACCTCATATCCTGGAAACCATATCAACTCTACAAAATATTGCCTGTGTTTTATAAAGGAGTGGCTGCAATTAAGAATACATTTCGATGATATTATATTGAATTTGAGAGTCTTAGTACAGACAAGACTGTCCACGTAGATATTAATGGTCTATGTCTCGAGATTTAATTCTCTGATTCTATTCTCGAGTCGATATCGATCGAGTGTGAATTTTAGCTACTATCATTTAAACACGGAGTAAAAGCGAACTTTTACTTCTTCCCTGACCAAAATAATTTTACCTTCTTTTATAGGGTAAAGAATCACATAATTTCGTTCGAGGCCTATTGGAATGCCTCGAATCTTACCGGCTATAAGCCAGGATTCTCAGATTAAACCGACTCATATAGCTTCCATCTTCATGAAACCCTTTCACATCTGAAATTATTAAGTTCAGATGTGAAAGGAATATATAAGTCGGACGGATTCTGAAGCAATCCGTCCTTGTTATTCTCCTTGTCTTCATGTTGTTGTAACGCATTGTTCTTCAGATGATGTGAAATAATGATCGTAAACGATTTTGACATGAGGCAAGGATTTAGTCTGCTTCTAATAAGTCTCTGTCGGGGTTGACTGATCTTCACATCGCTAATATTCAGTGTTTCCTCAAATTGTGTAATATATCGTGAGCCAGTGTTTTTCGTTCCTTTTCACACTTTGCTGGGTCAAACGCCGCCAAAATGATTGATTTTGTATAAAAAATGAGATTATCTTTAGCTTGAGATCGATTTCGGTTTGTTAAATGTTTTAGACTTTTTGAGTTTTTGATACAAATGATCGACCTTAATAAGAAATATGAATGTTTCAGTGCGAAAGCAGCTGCCAATAACATTCGATCTTATCGATATTATTTTTTTAAAAACAATTAATATTTTTAAATTTTCTTTAAAAAAAACGATAATTTCAATCGTTAGGCATTCTCGCAAATGAATTCTGGGTATCAATTGTAACAACAGTTTTGAAATTTAATCATTATTGTGAAATAAATTGTAATTAACGCCTATATTTTTGTAAATTTTTAGTATGAAAAAATACCTTACAAAAATTAATTGTATGTTTTTTTGTTTGATAAAAAAAGGAAATGCTGTAAAACAAAAACTATTCTTAGTATAATTTCTTATCTCGATTATGGGGAATAACATTTAGCAAATATTACTAATTTCATAATTCAATGCAAGTGATTTGAATGAATGTTTTGTATTAATTTACATCATATGGTATGAATATAAAAATATGACGAAAGTACTTTAATAATGCAATAAAACCGCTCTTAAGACAATAATAAATATTTAATAATAATAATATAGCTATTTATTTGACAACTTGTTTTAAAAACAATACAATTAAAAAGTAATACTCATTAATCAATACATTTAGAGGCCCTTTTATCGGTATTATGACGTACAGCTGTCATTTAAATAAACAAACAAAAATTTTAATTATTATAAAAATAAAAACCTATAATACTAATAAATTTCTTGTTGCGTCTTTGGTAAAAGTAAACAAATAACATAAAACCCTTAGCTGTTTATTAAATTATTAAAAATCAATTAAAAGTTCAACATTTAATAAAACATTTCCTAAAATTCGAAAAAAAAACTTAACCACAATTAAGTTTTTATTTAATTATTTATTAGCTTGAAATTATATTACAAATATTAACGAACAAATTATCTTATTAAACCATCTAAACTCAACATAGTTTTTTTTTGTTAAAATATTTTTATATTACTTTTCGTTTTAATAATAATGCACTTTGTTTTAATACTTAGTCCTGCTTCAATGATTTTGTAGTTAAAAGGTGTAAAACGAATTATCTTTTTTAATAGATCTTAACAAGGTTAATATTAGTTTTAATTGAAATACAAAATAAAACTAAAAAACAATTCTAAAACAATTTGTTTGTTTTTTTTTTGAAGGTTAAACACCACAAAATTCTCTCTTGACCACAAATATTAAGGAAATTTTTAATTAAAGAATTTAATAGTTTTGAACTGTAATTAAGTTGTAAATTAGAAGTCAAGTTTAAATTGAAAAAAAAAGTGAATGCAATTGAAAGGAAATAAATATTTGAATAGAGTTGTAAATTAAAATTAAATATATTTGGGTAAACCTTAACGACCAATCATTGCTGAGTCCTTAAAATTTTGTTCAGTTCTAGTTCAGTT